TCTGACGTTTATGAAGGTCTCCTATCATAATGAAACATTTTCCACTCTCTGAACATGAGAAAAGAATGCCTACCTGTACGGATTCTATGGTGCATAAGATGATGTCCTCTCTGTGAAAACATTTTCCGCACTTTGAACATGAAAAGATAGATGAGAAAAAGTATGTTCTGACGTTTATGAAGATCTCCTATCATAATGAAACATTTCCCGCTCTCTGAACATGAGAAAAGGACGCCCATCTGTACGAATTCTATGTCCATTTTGTGAAACATTTCCCGCACTCTACATAAATAAGGACCCTCACCTGTGTAAATTCTCAGATGTTTACGAAGGTCTAATTTTGTGGCAAAATTTTTTCTCGGGGAAATATTTGAATAAGTTTCCCACACTCTGAAGATGCATGTGTGACTTCTCTGGTTTGCAACAATTTTTGCTTCCTGACCTTTTCTTTTACAAATTCCAAACATGAGAAAAGGGCAGATGTCCATGAAGGTGTGCAAAAAAAGACCTTGTGTTTAGGTAAAACATTTCCAACAAACATAAAAAAAGTAGCTCATTCATGTGAAATCTCCATTATTTGAAAAGATCCCACCTTCTGAGTGCAACGTTTCCCACACTCAGAACATGAAAAAAACAGGCACTCATCTACGTGAAGTCTCTTGTGTTTTGGCAGGTGTTGTTTTATAATGAAACATTTCCCACACTCTAAACATGAAAAAGGACTCTCATCCGTGTGAATACTGTGGAGTACATTGTGAAACATTTCCCACACTCTGAAAATGCATAAGGATGCTCACCAGTGTGAACTTTCTGGGGTGTATGAACGTTATCTTTTCCATTGAAACCTTTTCCGCACTTTGAACATACAAAAGGACACTCGCCAGTGTGAGTTCACTGATGTGAAATTTTTCTCCCAAGAAACATCTCCCACACTTTGAACATGAAGAAGGATAATTGCCCAAGTGCCATCTCTGGTGATAAATAAGACTTATTTTATGATTGAAAGGTTTCCCACACTCTGAAAATGAACAGGGACACTAACCAGTGTGAACTTTCTGGTGTGAAAGTAGTAGTCCTTTCTGAGAGAAACATTTCCCGCACTCTGAACATCTGTGAAAGCCCTCACCAGTGTGAATTTTCATATGTTTGTGGAGGTACCTTTTGTTGGAGTAACATACTCCACACTCTGAACATCTGAAAGGACGTATTCCTGTGTGAATTCTGTGGTGTGTAAGAAGGTCTGCATTCGAAGTGAAACTTTTCCCGCACTCTGAACATGAATGGGAGCCTTCGCTGAAGTGGCTTTTCTGGTGCGAAAGAAGCGCTGCTCTATTCGTGAAAGATTTCCCACACACTGAACATGAGAATGAAAAAGAACTTTCACCGTTGTAAAAACCTTCATGGCTCGAAGAAGAGATCTTGGAATAAAATGTAGCCGTTGATCGATCTGCACTGTGGGAACTTAGATGGACATCTGACGTCATAGTATGGGACCTATCAGAAGATTCCTCAGGATTAGAGGGATCCATTGAGGTCTGTAAATGGCGAGGTCTGTGGTGTCTATTTTGAGGAAGGAGATTCATTCTCGGAGAATACTTTTTGATGTTATGGTCTTCTGCCTTATAATCTTGAGATAAAATCTGATGTCCCTTCGACATATTTTGGACATAATGTCCATCTATGGAAAGGAATTTATATTGCAAGTATTAGGCATTTATCATATTTTGTATTCAGAAGTCATAAATGTCCTCGTCTACCAGTCACAGATCTCAGAGAGGAATGGAGATGGACCTTTCATATGGTGTCCAGTATCTCCTCCTCATTTGTTGGGAACATGACGTTATATTGAGGAATGGAGATGGACCTTTCATATGGTGTCCAGTATCTCCTCATTTGTTGGGAACGTGACGTTATATTGAGGGATGGAGATGGACCTTTCATATGATGTCCAGTATCTCCTCCTCATTTGTTGGGAACGTGACATTATATGTAAAGTGAAAATGTAAATGATTTCTGTATTTAATGTTTATTACTTACTTATATCAATATAAAGGAAAGGTTCCTCCTGTTTACTTTCGGTAATCATCTCCCCCTTCTCCATAGACTGCTGATCTCCACTCACCGACGTCTTTTGTTCTCCCCGTTTAATCTGCACTTTGATTTCTTCACCCTAAACCCCAAAGATGATACATCAATTTTTTAAAAAAGGAGTTACAAAGAAGAATATCATCCCACAGCTTGGAACACTTTTTGAATTGCTCAGTCCCACTTACCTGATGATGGTGAGGGCTGGTGTGACCTCTCTGTGCGGAAACCCGGGAATACAGAGGACGGGGACATCTCTCTGGTGGGTTCCCATGACTGGATCCATCTGTAGAAAACACACACACTGAATGAATCCATTGTTTCTATGTGTTTATCAGATGATGGGGGATCTAGGTGGACCCTCCGTACTGCTCTCTCCTTTACAATAAAGTCTCCTCTTACCCGGTGATGTGAGGGGTGGCTGATTGTCCATCATGACGTCCTTGTAGAGGTCCTTGTGTCCTTCTAAATACTCCCACTCCTCCATGGAGAAAAAAAACGATATCTTGACAACTTTATTGGAACCAGACACACACAATGATACAGTCACTGTCCAGACACATCCCTTGTCTGTTACTGGAGATTGCCCCAGAAATCCCGGCACCGCTCACCTCTCCTGTCAGCAGATCAGTGATTTTCTGGGTCACGTCTAGAACCTTCTTAATGCTGGTTGGCTTTAGTCCCGATTATTATTGGTGTATCCGGTCTATAAACCAGAGGCTCCGGATGGATGGTTGGATAAATGGTTGTATATTTAGGACGTATCCGGTCTATAAACCAGAGGCTCTGGATGGACGGTTGGATAGATGGTTCTATATTTAGGATGTATCCGGTCTATAAACCAGAGGCTCTGGATGGACGGTTGGATAAATGGTTCTATATTTAGGACGTATCCGGTCTATAAACCAGAGGCTCTGGATGGACGGTTGGATAAATGGTTGTATATTTAGGACGTATCCGGTCTATAAACCAGAGGCTCTGGATGGACGGTTGGATAGATGGTTCTATATTTAGGATGTATCCGGTCTATAGACCAGAGGCTCTGGATGGACGGTTGGATAAATGGTTCTATATTTAGGACGTATCCGGTCTATAAACCAGAGGCTCTGGATGGACGGTTGGATAAATGGTTGTATATTTAGGACGTATCCGGTCTATAAACCAGAGGCTCTGGATGGACGGTTGGATAAATGGTTCTATATTTAGGACGTATCCGGTCTATAAACCAGAGGCTCTGGATGGACGGTTGGATAAATGGTTGTATATTTAGGACGTATCCGGTCTATAAACCAGAGGCTCTGGATGGACGGTTGGATAGATGGTTCTATATTTAGGATGTATCCGGTCTATAAACCAGAGGCTCTGGATGGACGGTTGGATAAATGGTTCTATATTTAGGACGTATCCGGTCTATAAACCAGAGGCTCTGGATGGACGGTTGGATAAATGGTTGTATATTTAGGACGTATCCGGTCTATAAACCAGAGGCTCTGGATGGACGGTTGGATAGATGGTTCTATATTTAGGATGTATCCGGTCTATAAACCAGAGGCTCTGGATGGACGGTTGGATAAATGGTTCTATATTTAGGACGTATCCGGTCTATAAACCAGAGGCTCTGGAGGGACGGTTGGATAAATGGTTCTATATTTAGGCTGTATTGATGTTCATGACACAATAATCTATTTAGTGTATGTCATGGAGGATGGACATGACGGAGGGTTACTGGGTGTAAATATAAAATAAGATCTTACTACCTCCTCTTCTGCCAGTTCCAGCAATGTCTTCTCTCTGCTTCCTCAAAACTCCCTTCCCAACCAGAACTTCCTGTCTCTACATGACATCACTTCCTGCCTGTACCATAGACTCTTGGTTGAACATTGGATATCTTCCTGTCCTATTTTTCCCCTATGAATAAGGTAGACTCCACCTAGTGGAGATGATTAAATCTGCAGCCTGTTATTTTTCGTGGCGCCTCCTTCCATGATGTTGCGCACATTATTACACACTCAGATTATAGCGACCTTCTTCTGTGCCTCAGTTACCCTCCTCATGATCCATCCCCCACCAAAATCTCCTTCGTGAGAAGAAACTTTTGCTCATTTGTTTTTTCTTCTTAGTGGGAATGGAGGGGAGGTAGGAGACACCGGAGAGGGGGGTATAATACCTCTTCTATTACAGGGAACGGAGGGGAGGTAGGAGACACGGGGACACCGGAGAGGGGGGGTATAATACCTCTTCTATTACAGGGAACTGAGGGGAGGTAGGAGACACGGGACACCGGAGAGGGGAGTATAATACCTCTTCTATTACAGGGAACGGAGGGGAGGTAGGAGACACGGGACACACCGGAGAGGGGGGTTTAATACCTCTTCTATTACAAGGAACGGAGGGGAGGTAGGAGACACGGGACACCGGAGAGGGGGGGTATAATACCTCTTCTATTACAGGGAACGGAGGGGAGGTAGGAGACACGGGACACCGGAGAGGGGGGGTATAATACCTCTTCTATTACAGGGAACTGAGGGGAGGTAGGAGACACGGGACACCGGAGAGGGGAGTATAATACCTCTTCTATTACAGGGAACGGAGGGGAGGTAGGAGACACGGGACACCGGAGAGGGGGGTTTAATACCTCTTCTATTACAAGGAACGGAGGGGAGGTAGGAGACACGGGACACCGGAGAGGGGGGTATAATACCTCTTCTATTACAGGGAACGGAGGGGAGGTAGGAGACACGGGACACCGGAGAGGGGGGTATAATACCTCTTCTATTACAGGGAACGAAGGGGAGGTAGGAGACACGGGACACCGGAGAGGGGGGTATAATACCTCTTCTATTACAGGGAACGGAGGGGAGGTAGGAGACACGGGACACACGGAGAGAGGGGGGGTATAATACCTCTTCTATTACAGGGAACTGAGGGGAGGTAGGAGACACGGGACACCGGAGAGGGGAGTATAATACCTCTTCTATTACAGGGAACGGAGGGGAGGGTAGGAGACACGGGACACCGGAGAGGGGGGTATAATACCTCTTCTATTACAGGGAACGGAGGGGAGGTAGGAGACACGGGACACCGGAGAGGGGAGTATAATACCTCTTCTATTACAGGGAACGGAGGGGAGGTAGGAGACACGGGACACCGGAGAGGGGGGTATAATACCTCTTATATTACAGGGAACGGAGGGGAGGTAGGAGACACGGGACACCGGAGTGGGGGGTATAATACCTCTTCTATTACAAGGAACGGAGGGGAGGTAGGAGACACGGGACACCAGAGAGGGGAGTATAATACCTCTTCTATTACAGGGAACGGAGGGGAGGTAGGAGACACGGGACACCGGAGAGGGGGGTATAATACCTCTTCTATTACAGGGAACGAGGGGAGGTAGGAGACACGGGACACCGGAGAGGGGGGTATAATACCTCTTCTATTACAGGGAACTGAGGGGAGGTAGGAAGCACGATGGCAATGATTGAAATATTTTTATCGATCATTTCTTTTCCTGTGATCATCAGCTCCATCTAGTGCCCATAATGCGATACTTTCCCGGTTCTCCCTCTTCTGATGAAAGAAGAACATTCGAGAAACCAGCCAAGTAACATTCGGTTTTTCACAGACGAATGTACAGATAACCTCTGCTGATATATTTTATAAAAGAGAGATGGAGAAGGGTGCAGATCTTTATTGTTCATTATTTTAGGAAGATTAGCACAAAAAAAAAACCCAAATTCAATCTTTAATAATTAAAGTGAACAATAAAATCAAATGTATTGAGGAATGATCACTGAGGGGATGATGCACATACATACTGAGGAATGATCACTGAGGGGACGATGCACATACATCCTGAGGAATGATCACTGAGGGGATGATGCACATACATCCTGAAGGATGATCACTGAGGGGAAGATGCACATACATCCTGAAGAATAATCACTGAGGGGACGATGCACATACATCCTGAGGAATGATCACTGAGGGGACGATGCACATACATCCTGAGGAATGATCACTGAGGGGACGATGCACATACATCCTGAGGAATGATCACTGAGGGGACGATGCACATACATCCTGAGGAATGATCACTGAGGGGACGATGCACATACACCACCCTGAGGAATGATCACTGAGGGGACGATGCACATACATCCTGAAGAATGATCACTGAGGGGACGATGCACATACAGCCTGAAGAATGATCACTGAGGGGACGATGCACATACATCCTGAAGAATGATCACTGAGGGGACGATGCACATACAGCCTGAAGAATGATCACTGAGGGGACGATGAACATACAGCCTGAAGAATCATCACTGAGGGGACGATGCACATACACCCTGAGGAATGATCACTGAGGGGACGATGCACATACACCCTGAGGAATGATCACTGAGGGGACGATGCACATACAGTCTAAAGAATCATCCCTGAGGAGACGATGCACATACAGCCTGAAGAATAATCACTGAGGGGACGATGCACATACATCCTGAAGAATGATCACTGAGGGGACGATGCACATACATCCTGAAGAATGATCACTGAGCGGACGATGCACATACAGCCTGAGGAATGATCACTGAGGGGACGATGCACATACAGCCTGATGAATGATCACTGAGGGACGATACACATACAGCCTGAGTAATGATCACTGAGGGGAAGATGCACATACACCCTGAGGAATGATCACTGAGGGGACGATGCACATACACCCTGAGGAATAATCACTGAGGGGACGATGCACATATATAAATTGAAGAATGATCCCTGGGGGGTAATCTAGCACATTTGTCAATGGCACCCTCAAGTGTGTGTTTTTTTGGTGCCTAATTAGATTTCCTTTATGCGTGAAACATTTCCCGCACTCTGAACATGGAAAAGGGCCCTCGCGAGTGTGAATTCTCTGGTGGTAAATAAGGTTCCTCTTCTCAAGAAAAGATCGTCCGCACTCCCGAACACGAAAACGGGCGTTCGCCCGTGTGCCGCCTCTGGTGTAAAATGAGAGCGCTTTTCTCAGTGAAACTCTTCCCGCACTCCGAGCATGAAAAAGGACGCTCGCCCGTGTGCCTTCGTTGGTGTGTAATAAGTTTTCCTTTCTCGGCAAAACATTTCCCACACTCCGAACAGGAGAAAGGACGCTCGCCCGTGTGCATTCTCTGGTGTTTAAGGAGGTGCACTTTCTGAGTGAAACATTTCCCGCACTCTGGACAGGAGAAAGGGAATTCACCCGTGTGAATCCTCTGGTGTGTAATTAAGTTTCCTTTGTGAGTAAAACATTTACCGCAATCCGCACAGGAAAAGGGACGCTCGCCCTTGTGACTTTTTTGGTGTCTGAGAAGGTGCGCTTTCTGAGTGAACCTTTTCCCACACTCTGAACAGGAGAAAGGGTATTCGCCGGTGTGAATTCTCTGGTGTATCAGCAGCGCTCTTTTCTCGGCGAAGCCTTTCCCGCACTCTGAGCATGCAAAAGGGCGCTCGTCTGTGTGACTTTTTTGGTGCCTAATAAGTTTTCCTTTCTCGTTGAAAACATTTCCCGCACTCTGAACAGGAGAAAGGAAATTCACCCGTGTGACTTCTCTGGTGCGCCAGAAGTTTTCCCTTCTCGGCAAAACATTTCCCGCACTCTGAACACGAATAAGGGCGCTCGCCCGTGTGAATTCTCTGGTGTGTGACCAGCGCTCCTTTCTGGATGAAACACTTCCCGCACTCCGAACATGAAAAAGGGCGCTCGCCCCGTGTGGATTCTCTGGTGGGTCAGAAGTACGCTTTTCTCGGTGAAAGCTTTTCCCGCACTCTGCACACGGATATGGACGCTCGCCCCTGTGACTTTTCTGGTGAGTCAGAAATTCCCCTTTTTCGGAGAAAGGTTTCCCGCACTCCGAACACGTAAAAGTCACTCTGGTGTGAGATCTGAGGTGTAGAAGAAGTTCAGATCTTAGCTTAAAGGATTTCCCGCACCCCAGACATGACATTGTATCCTGGCCGGTGTGAACCTCTTCATTCCCCTAGAGGAGATTTCTCTGGATGGGATGTGCTGGCTGATCGCTCCGCCCGGTGAGAGACATCGGATGGATATGTGACATCATAGTGCTGGATCGATCAGAAGATTGCCGATGTTCCAGGAATCCATCAATCTCTCCCAGCGGTAGGGCTCTGCGATTTGCACTTCCTGAAGGACACGGCCCGCTTCCATCCTCATTATATACCGGAGATACCCTGAGACGGACTTCCGAGGATTTCCCCCCAATCTCCTCACCTGTTGGAGAGAAACGGATGTCAACGTATCCGCCAAATCCCCCCCTTATGTATTATACATGGAGATCGTATCCCCCCTTATGTATTATACATGGAGATCATATCCCCCCCCCTTATGTATTATACATGAAGATCATATCCCCCCTTATGTATTATACATGGTGATCATATCCCCCCTTATGTATTACACATGGAGATCATATCCCCCCCTTATGTATTATACACGGAGATCATAACCCCCCCTTATGTATTATACATGGTGATCAAATCCCCCCTTATGTATTATACATGGAGATCATATCCCCCCCCCTTATGTATTATACATGAAGATCATATCCCCCCTTATGTATTATACATGGTGATCATATCCCCCCTTATGTATTACACATGGAGATCATATCCCCCCCTTATGTATTATACACGGAGATCATACCCCCCTTATGTATTATACATGGTGATCAAATCCCCCCTTATGTATTATACATGGAGATCATATCCCCCCTTATGTATTATACATGGAGATCATATCCCCCCCTTATGTATTATACATGGTGATCAAATCCCCCCTTATGTATTATACATGGAGATCATATCCCCCTTATGTATTATACATGGATATCATATCCCCCCTTATGTATTATACATGGAGATCATATCCCCCCCCCCCCCCCCCCCCCCTTATGTATTATACATGGAGATCATATCCCCCTTATGTATTATACATGGAGATCATACCCCCCTTATGTATTATACATGGTGATCAAATCCTCCCTTATGTATTATACATGGAGATCATATCCCCCCTTATGTATTATACATGGAGATCATATCCCCCCTTATGTATTATACATGGAGATCATATCCCCCCTTATGTATTATACATGGAGATCATATCCCCCCTTATGTATTATACATGGATTTTGGAGCACTTCATGCTTCCTTCCACAGACGAGCTTTATGGGGATGCTGACTTCATTTTTCCAGCAGGACTTGGCACCTGCCCGCACTGGCAAAAGCACCAAAACCTGGTTCAATGACCGTGGCATTACTGTGCTTGATTGGCCAGCAAACTCTCCTGACCTAAACCCCGTAGAGAATCTATGGGGCATTGCCAAGAGAAAGATGAGAGACATGAGACCGAACAATGCAGAAGAGCTGAAGGCCGCTATTGAAGCATCCTGGTCTTCCATAACACCTCAGCAGTGCCACAGGCTGATAGCTTCCATGCCATGCCTCATTGAGGCAGTAATTGCTGCAAAAGGGGCCCAAACCAAGTACTTAGTACATATGCATGCTTCTACTTTTCAGAGGTCCGATATTGTTCTATGTACAATCCTTGTTTTATTGATTGCATGTAATATTCTCATTTTCTGTGATTGTGGATTTGGGGGTTTTCATGAGCTGTAAGCCATAATCATCACAATGATGACAAATCACGGCTTGAACTATCTTGCTTTGCATGTAATGAGTCTATCTCATATATTAGTGTAACAGGCTCCTTGTACAAGAGGATTCAGAAGGAATCACATGTTGAGCAGTCAGTCCTTCCTCTCTCTCCCCCTATTTGTAAAAACCTGGGCATTCTGCCAAGTTGATGACTCATCCACTACACAGCAAAGAATGCAGGGAAGGGGAGGAAGCAGGAAGTGAAGGGGAGAACAGAGAGACACGAGGCTGGAGAAAAGACAGGGACACGTGGAGCCCGTCCAAGCAGAGGAGGAGGCACTACAGCACTCAGTGTGGATAGAGGGACCCTGCTGTCTGTTCAGAGTCTGGTGAGCTGTCCCACTGGAGAGAGTAAGACACACCATTTACACTTTGCATATAGACTGGACATCCGCACCCCACTGCTGGGATCTCACCCATCCAGGGCCCTGTACAAGCCACAGATCCCCTGCCTGCTTTGTCCCTCACCACCAGTGTAAGTGAGACTGTCCGCCCCGGGGACTGACACATACTGGGAGATTGCATCCTGCGACTGCCCCCTGGTCTTGGGCTGCTTTTCTGTTGCCTTTAGACACTGAGGTTGGACCCTCTCAGCCCAGAAACCTAGTGAAATCTGATGTAACCCACACCAGCTGAAACTCCAAAGAAGTCTTCAGCTGCTATTTACTTCATTATAAGGACTAAACGTGCACCAACTAGAGCTCCACCGTTACAAGGACTGAAGTGGGGGGGAATATGGCTTAGTAGCCTTATTAGAGGTACCTCTTTGTTGCATTCTGTTCTGACTCTGAGGTGATTTTTGGCTAATGCCCCACTCAGAAGCAGAATCATACACCGGTTGTGGGTAATACATTTCATTGATAGAGTATAAGTAAGTTTATTTGTTTGATATCAGTTGTATTCTGCTTAAAGTGCGACTCTGCCATCCGGAGACTCTTGGCTGTGAAGCCCTCTAGTGGCAGACCAAATTTACTGCATTGCATAAAAGAAGAAAAGTAAGTTTTGAAGTTGAAAGGGGAAACCCCACCCCTCTACACTGCATTTTATTCTCCATAAAATTGTTCTTGTTTTATTTAACTCTGTGTCAGCAAATTTCTTGGCGGGGTATTTGCTATTCATTACCAGTTGTGCCAGAGGGATTGGGTTTGCTTAGGGTTGGATCTATTGAGCGCAGGACCCATAATATATTACAGCTTGTCCCAAGGGGCAGTGCTATACGTGGGGGCTCGTCCGGGATACTTGCTGCTCAATTACCAACAACCACTCAAGCAGTGCCCTATACCAACTCCTAAGATGGACGTCGCAGCCCGCGACCCAAGTGGTGCAGCATGGAAAATGCTTGCCCAGAACGGAGTGTAGTGATCGAGTTCCCATAGAAAAGGGGACCAAAGAACAGATTAACAAGATGTGAATGCACTACCCACAGAGGGGAAGAAAACGTGTGTGATAGATGTGATACCCGCCTTAGACACCACCCTGGCATATGCCCTGCTAGAGTGGAAGAAGGGGATCCCTGACAGTTTCCAAGGAGCCAATATCCAAATAGAGGATGGGACAAGGCTCCAGTTACTTCAGTTGAACACCCCCGGGCCTAGTTGTGCAAAACCTGAGAGGGAAGAACCCCTGTCCCAGACACCTCTAGCCACCATAGGCCCGGAATTCCTCACTGCATTGGGGGACTTCATGTTAAAATGCCACAAAGACCCCTCTCCATACACAGGGATGTATCGGAAGCTCCGATTCTTCTCGGGTAGGCAAACCAATACCTACCGGGGAGGATGGCTTTGAAGAGTGGCTAGACCAAAGCCATGCAAGCACTAAGTGAATGGGACATTCCTGAGGCCCACAAGAAACAGAGGATTACGGAGAGCCTAAGGGGCCCTGCATTGGAGGCCATTCGCAACCTAAAACTTAGCAAACAGGATTGCACTGCTCAGGACTATCTAGATATTTTACAAGATGTATTTGGGCGTACTGAAAAGGCTTCAGACCTCATCTATCAGCTAGAGCATACCTACCAAAATGAAGGGGAGAAAACTCTCCAGTTACATGGGACGTCTAGACAAGATAATATACCAAATTCTGCTAAAAAGGGGAATAGGCCCTGAAAGAGTAGATGAGGTTCGGGCGCAACAAGTCCTACGGGGAGCCAGGCCCCTAGACCCCATTGCTATTCTATTACGAACTCGGCAAGATGGTGGCCTCCTGAACTATCCAGACTTGATCCGGACTGTGAGAGAGGAGGAAGCCATGTTGGATGACAAAGAGAGACAGTCAGACTCTGTTTGTAGGGGTACGGGTAGTCAATGTGGGAGGTGACACCCCTGAAGTTGAACTCCTTAAGACTCAGGTGTCCCAACTAATGGAGATGGTGACCTTACTAATGGCGGGGACCATCGGGTTTAGCGAGAGAGAGACGAGAGCAGTTTCTGAAAACCTGTCAGGAGTTGCCCCAACGCAAGCAACTAGTCCCACCATTCAAATGATCTGCTTTAATTGTGGAGGGACAGGACATGTCAGGAGAGTCTGTCCGAGCCCCAGGAAGCCTGAAGCTAAGCGCCAAAAACCGGCGGAAAACTTCAGAGGGCCCTGGTGAAGGAGCAACCCAGGGACCCCACCACCGTAGCTAGCTCCACTCAACCAAGTAAAAGGGGGGCGAGGAGAAAATCTGGTCCTATCCAGAAGGACCCCACCATCCCTTACAAACAGCCTAGGGAAAATGCCACTTCACCTCAGGGAGTCAGTGCACACCTCAAACCTGGGAGTCAACCACGGCTTAGGCCGAGCCAAAACTCCCCCAGGAGGGGAGTAAGGATAAGAACTGCAGAACAGAAGAAGACGGCTACCTGTTCACCACTCCCTGAGAATTTAGTGGGACCCTCCCCTGTCGTCCCGATTCAGGTAGAAGGGATTTATACCAGGGCTCTTCTGGACACCGGAGCCCAAGTAAAACCCTTCTG